AAAGAATTTAAAAATGACTGCCTGTCTATTGAGTCTAATTACAACTGCACATTATCTGTCTGGATGTACTAGTCCACATCATTGTTACCAAATACAATATATTGTATTCACCTTGCGTTTCTAACTTCAGACAGAGAAACCACCATTTGGAGGATAAGTAACACCCACACAGACACATACACACACACACACACACACACGCACACACACGCACACAAACACAATCACACACATGCGCACACACACGAACACACACAAGAACACACACGCACACCACACACGCACACAACAACAATCACACACATGCGCACACACACGAACACACACAAGAACACACACGCACACACACGCACACCTGAGCGAGTGTGGGGAAGTGCCACCACGTCCTGTGCTGTGCTGTTTGCCTCCATGGCTGAGGGGTGATGCTACCGAGTGCTACAAAATGGCTTAAGGAAAGCCCGGCGGGTAACCACACTACACAGATGGGAGACACACACCCTACTTTTCTAACTGCAAGACCGAAGCTATTTTTACAGTCCGTCCAGGGACAGGCAGGAGAGCCGCCCGCCTGCGCGCCGAAGGGCTTGACCTGCTCGCGCTGCTGGATGAGACGTGGCTGCTGTGCACCAGGGCCAGGGACTCCCGTCCTCCCCCTGCTCCCGCCTGCGCCTGAGCCCTGGCTTCCCCACGACGCAGACACGCGTGGCAGGGGAAGCACGCCACAAGGGGCCGGCCCTTCTCCTCCCAGACCCCGAAGCGGAGGTGGGAGGAAGGGTTTTAGTTCTGGGGTCTCACCTGGGTTTCCTGGCCCTGAGCAGTCACCTCTCATTCTCATCACTTTGCAAAACCATCTTTAGTAAAAAGAGGAAAAATGCAGACTTGTGAGGCAATTTCGGGAGTAACTGCTGATACATCAGTTATTGACTGTCTCGCTGCCGTTTATGAGCGCGCTCAAGGCAAAACTGAGAACAAAATGACAACATCAACCGCTCGCAATCAAGTGTGGCCCTGGAGAGCACTGAAGCCCTAACTGACAGTTGTCAGGATAATGGGGGCCCAGCCGCCGGTTCCGGAAGATTCCCTCCCTTGTGTGGATGTCCAGGGAATATCCTTGCCTCCTGCCCTCTTTGTTTTCTCCTTCATCTTGATTTTCCTTTTAAAATCTGCGCTGCTCCTCCCATTTTGCAGGAAGGGGGGATCACAGAGCACCCAAAGCAGTCATTTGCCGCCTTGCCACAGGGCAGACACCTGTCCACAGGAGAAGCGTGTGGCAGGTGTGAGGGAAGTGCGTTCCCCAGGCCGAACCACGGTGCCCCGATGCTCCCGGAGCCGCCAGGAGAGAAGAGAAAGCTGTTCTCAGAGCTGCCCGGCAGGTACGTGGAGAAGACTTAGGAAGGCGAGGGTGGTGCACTGGGCACCGCATGCCCTGTCTGCTGGCGGCGTGAGCCCCTGTGCCTGCCACCACGGCCATCCTGCTGTCCCAGCAGGTGCCAAGGGGTCCAAACACTGTGATAAAAGTCAAGAAGCTTAAGGCTCACCCTGGGAATATGACCCCAGGAGCCCCAAGGGAGACTCTTCTCTCTCAACAAATAAGACACCCAAGGTCAGTGGCAAGTTGTTGTTCACTGAGGATTTTTTTGAAAGTTTAGCTAATAGCTTTTTATAATTTTACATTTTCTCCAGAAAATGAAGATGAACGGATCAAATGTTATCTGCTAATAAGTGTTGCTCTAAATGCTTTCCTGATATTTAAAAAAAACCACACACAACATGTTTAAAAGCAAACATTGGGAGAGAGCGAGGCTCAGCAAGGAATAATGGTCTCTCTCCCCTGAAGGGCATCGGCCTCCCTAGCCCACTCCTATGAGTTCTGCAGACAGCAACCTCCGTCCAGCACCAGAGTGCGGCCCTCCGAAACCCACCGGAGGAAGGGCACTCCTGCCGGCTCCTCTCCAGCAGGTGAAGAAATCTCTCTCCCTTGGAGAAGACACCGGGCCATGCATAATTTCTATCAGAAAAAATTCTAAAGTGCAGAAATCGGTCTCTTCAGGGATTCCTGGAGCCTGCTTCGGCTTTGCAGCGAGGCGGGCTCCATTTGGCCCAGAGAGAAAGCCCCGCACCTGTGCGCCGTGCCTTCACGCTCTGCCCAGCTCTCAGGCCTTTGTGGTTGTTATTCTACCCCAGACCATTAAAAGGGCCCTAATTCCTATGACATGATTATCCAGGTACCAAAGCCCATTTGTCACCTGCAGCAGAAAATTGAGTTAATGCACAACTAAAGGCAGCCAGGACTGTGTAATATCAACTTGATTACATCAAACTAGCTGCAAACCTAATTCTGCTGGATGACACTGCGTCGGGCTTGTCATCTCCAATCATTAAAGCTGTCAGAAATCCATCAGGTTTACAGCTAATTAGGTGAACACTAATGAAGCTGGCAAAACAACTTTTCTTTTTTTATGGCTGAGCGGACCTTTCACTTTGGAGGGGAAAAATCCTCGAGGATCCTCAAGGTTGCTGGGGACTGGATTTTCAGTTACCAATCAGTAGACATCTTCCTTTTTCCCACTCTCTCTCTCTCTCTCTCAGTACAAAGCAATCAATGTGTCGTCACTCCCAGGACGCCACAAAAGCAGGCATGAACCTTATAACTTGCAGCTGTGAGAACTAAAACAGGAGGAAAAAATGGGAAGTATCTTGTCCATTTAAACAAACAAACAAACAAACAAAAACCCCAAAACTCTCACAGCTCACGTATTGGCCTGTGCATACTTATCTATCGCTGGCCTAGAGGTGGAGGTTTTCCCTCCTCTCCTTAAATAAGTCACCCTTCAGACATCCCCACCCCCACCCCCCACACGTCCATTAGCCAAGGCATTCTGATAACGTAAATCCAAAACCAGGGTATGGGAAGAAAGAAAGCACTCACGCTGCCAACTTCTGATTGACCATTAAGCTATTGATGAATGTGCCTGTCAGGAGAGAGACAATTAAATCAAATATGAAACAAAGTCGTTTTGACGGGTCATTTTGATAGAGCAAAACCATTCTTCCATCTCCTATTAGTCGTGCAGTCAAGTTTTTACATAATGAGTATTTCTTAACTAACCTGAGATTTCCTGCCTGGCTTTTTAAAAGGTGCAAAAAATTAGTGAACAGGTTGCTTTTAAAATGTACATTTCTTTCTTATCTAATATTTTTAGCAGAAAGTTATCAAATAAGAGTGTCAGATTGGCAAGGTGGGAGAGAAAGATGAACCAATCGTAGAGAGAGTTCTAAACCAAATGTAAGTTGGGATCACATATGGCTCATTTGACTGAGGCACACAGATACCTTAAAATGTGCATCAAAGAGAAAAGAAAAAATCCCAGAGACTGGAAGAAGCCCAAGACACTCCTACTGCCGAGCTCTGTGAAGGAATCCTCCAAACTTTTAGAGGTTATTTTAGGCAGATAAGCTCTTTCTTGAGCTTGAATTCAAAGCAGAAGGTGGTATGGTCAAGTAGCATCGCCAGGAGATGACTTGAGAGGCAGCACCCTCCCTACAGCCACGCTGGGGGTGGTCAAACTTTCTAAATTTGGGCCACACTGGGCATAGAGAACAAAACCTGAATTACACCCCTCAAACCAAACCTATTTATCCTATGATTTTCTTAAGACACTAACAAGAAAGCACGTTTCTGGGAGAAGAAAGACTCTCATTCCCACAACCCATCCACCCTGCCGCCCCTCTGTAAGGAGTTCTGAGAGGAGCCAGCTTGTGAGCTCCACCGGCAGCTGGTCAGCAGGAAGGACAGGGCCCTGAGCATCACCCACCATTACTACAGGCACAAGACCTTTATCTAAGAAGGCACCAGGCAAGGTCTTGGCCCTTCTCTCTGCCCTCCCTCCTTTCACCAAAGGAAAAGAACAGAAAAGAAGAGAAAACGAAAGAAAGAAACCTCCACTTCGCCTCCCGTCCGGGCAGCCTCTGACCCACAGCACATGAGTGTTACTCATCAAAATGCATCCCATCCATACGTGGTCCTCTCAGCAGTGGGTCCCAAATCCCAAAGTTGCACTGACAGGGCCCTAGTGACGTCACACAGCTTGGCCTCACCATTGCCAGTGATTTATTGATGTTTATTGGGAATGAATAGATCAAAGGCAGCAGCATGACAGGCGATCAATCAGTCATCAAATCAAGGGTGGCAAGGGGCCAGTACCCCTTCTTCCAAGCAACATGCCCCCAACTGACATTATTGCAAAATAATGTTATGTGTGTGGGTTCGGTTTGATTTTCAATGATGCTTTTTCTAGAAAAGATAAAAAGCTTAGTCTTAACAGGAGTTGACACTCCTGGCACAAAAAAAAAAAGGAAAAAAAGTACTCAGACACATCCCAGAACTAAGTGCTAGGAGGCAATGAGGTGGGAGAGGCAGTGTGAGGAAGCAGGGGCTGGAGGGGGAGCCAGCCGGGTAAATGGCACGCCAGCATCTAACACCGACTTGACAGTCATCTGACAATACCCAGACTCTGTGCGCTCTGGTTTCCACCGCTGTGCCCGGTTTGGGCCCAATAAAGGAAGACTCGATCCGGTTGGCAGTAAGGTGACCTGGCAGTCCCAGCCCTCCAGCTGCAGGAGGACAGGAAAGGTGTCCCGGGGAACTCAGTGACCCCGCCTGCCCCCCACAGACAGACACAGTAGAGGCTCCTTCCCACCCCCTCCGCAGCCAGAGAGCTGAGGAGTCAGAAGCCAGCCGGCTTCAGTCTCCGGATGCCCTAAGTGGGTGCCAGCAGGGCTAGAACAGAACGCGGCTGGTGTCCGGAGGGCGCCGGGTCCGGGAGGTGGGCACAGGCACCCAAAGAGGGGAGCAGCGAGGAGCCTGTGCCCCGAGTCACTCTGCGCGGGCAGAGGCAGAGGGGCGGGAGCGGGGCCAGCCAAGCAGGGTCGCCACTGGCTGGAGCCCCGGGCGAGCGGAGGAAGAGGAGGAGGAGAGGAGGAGAGGAAGCGGCTCGTACCTGCTGCGCGCCGGGGCGCCTGCTGCTTCCTCCTCGGCATGATGCTCCTCCGGCGACTGCCACTGCCGCCGCACCGCCGCTGCCGGGCTGAGGAGCAGGAGGGAGGGGCGGCGGGCCCGAGGGGGGGCCAGGCGGGCTGGCTCTCAGCCTCCCCCCCAGAGAGGGCCGCCCGCAGGATGCTGCTGCGCCCAGGCTCTCAGTGTCCCCCCCTCTCTGCGCTCCACCGCGATCCCGAACGTGCGGAGGGAAGAAGGAGGGCGGGCGCGGGAGGCTCGGGAGGGAGGAGCACAGGGGGGGTGGGGAGGGAGGACCGCGCTGCCGGCGGAATGGGAAGTTTGACAAATCGCTCCAGAGGCCAAAGGAGGAGGGGGCGGGGAGCAGCGGCGGCCCTGCCCCCCCTTCTTGCCCGGTCCCCAGATGAGGTGGGGGG